TTAACGGATCCCTCCGTTAACTTCAAGTGTCACCATTTTTCGGGTTTCAATGAACGGGAAATTAAATGTCAGAAGTCTCCGATAAAAACTGTTAAACAAGAACTATATGGGCAAAACAGGGGAACAATCACCTTCCTCGCCGGCGCCGACGAGTCCTTATTAGAAGACGATTTGAAAACTCTCTTCACTGACGAGAACCATCCGCCTCCTTTCTTCCCCATCTCCGGCGAAAAGATCGTCGGCCTCTTAATATGCCATCATTTATACGACAAATTCATCCACGTCAAGGCCCGAAATATACATTCTCAGCAACCTTACAATATAATCACTATTCTAACAACATTACCATATGCTAACAAATCTATGTCACCACTGAATTTCACACGCAGGCAATCAGTTTTAGATGGACTGAAAAGGAGGGAGATGAGCTCCGAAACAAACCTGAAATGAATACGGTGTTTTGGATCACTCGGGCGGAAACTCTACATAGTGTGGGTGGCATGTCTGAGAATCATGCCGAAGTAAAGTTTGGTCATTTGAGAGAATGCTTCAACGGAGAGAAACGGAGAGAGAAATCAGTAACTGTGAGCCCGCGCAATCGCCGTTGGTATTTATTCCATACACGGGCGTTAGAGAATGTGATCCTCCGCAGTGGAGGCCTCTGGACAAATAGGGTTCTGACACGTCACCAAAATGTCTTCCGGATGGCTTCCTATTTGAAAAATTCTTCCCCGTCTTCAGTGCGCGCATGGCTATGAGCCTATGATTTATCCTGTACTACATAAAAGCATTTCGTAACATAACATCTACTTATTAATTTCTTTTTTTTTTTAACACAGTCTACGTGCGTATTAAATTCTGGCTGCATGCGGGGATTTTGTTCCCTAATAATATGTTTTCTGGCGAGTTTTAATTAGCATGTAACAGGCTTTGTCCCCCCCCCCAAACCAAAAAAAAAAAAAAAAAACCCTCCTATATATATGTTTCGATTCGATTCCGTGTGAAGGATATGTATATGTGGGCGTGAGGTTGTAAGCATATATGGGGTAAGTGGCGTGGATGGCAAACATATAATTAAGCTAGACTTCACAAGGTGAAAAGAGGAAGAAAAAAAAAGGGTGGGGTTAAGTTTTAGCTTGAAAGTTACTAAAGAGCGGTAGTTAGCAGATTTATATCAAGGTGTACTAACGACGCAATTGTTCTTTTGCGCCTCGTTGAATATTTAATATAATGAGGTGATTTTTTTTTTGGGGGGGGGGGGGACTTCATCCTTTTTAATGCTGTAACCAGCTTGGATAAAATTTATGTTATGTCCGCAGTTAATCAGCATAAGAAATGATCAAGTAGGGGTTTTGCATGACACATTGATAGAGTTGGAACAAGATAATATTTGTGTTGGGGCATAACCAAATTATGAACGTATGATAGACTGGGGGACATGAGAAGAGAATGAGAGAGAGAGAAGGGTGAGTGTGCGGCAATAGAGAATGAAAGGTGTGGTGGATGGAAAGGAGGGAGCGAGTGGGGAGAGGTCACGAGCTAAGCTGCACTGTCTATTTTCACCGATTTCGCTGCTTCCATTTATGGGTCCCAACCTTTCGAGGGTGATAATGAACATCTTCTTGTAATTGTGATTCATAGGTGACGGCAGAATGAGTCAACAATCGTATTTTGTATGTTATAAGATGACCCATATCGGTACGTGATTTATATTGCCACTGGTTGAAGATGAGAGGCGGTTGGAGGTCACAAGGGCATATTTGGTGTGATATGAGCGTGATCCTCTATTGTTTATTCCCAGTTACCTGCTTAACAGGGAGCCGACGCCCAAATAATTATTGTGGCAGCGGTTATAGCTACCGCGAGTCAAACTTCACATACTGAGTTATAATCAAATTAAAATTATAAGAACTAAGTTGTATCGAGTCGAAATATAAAAACTGATATACACATGTGTTAAAATTATAAGGACTAAAAGATTAAATTTTTCTAAAAGAAAAAACCTACTGTGAAGTCGTAACAAAAATTTCGCCGCCAGTAAATGCTACTAACTAACATAAAATGAGAAAATAGCAGCAGGTTTCATTCTGCTCATTTGCTGTGAGAAATTTGGGGCCATTATATTATATGTTTAAACCTCATAACGATTTTTCCTAAACAAAATAGCCAGCGCAAAGCAGAAGTCATTGAAAATGGGGGCATGAATTCACATTTTGAGAGGTGGGAGGGGTACGTCTTGCGCTTTACTCCTCATTTATATGCGGGGATTCATTTCTGGTGAGCAGCCCCTTTCATCATAAATATCTTCCTTCTCACTGCTTCTTCTTTAATCACGAACCATTCCCACCTCACATCCTCCTCCGTGTTTCGCCAGATTCCCAATTACATTCATGCCCTCCAGCTTCTTCTCTTCCTCTTCCCCTCTCCACTCCATCATCGCCGTCGTACTACATTTTAATGATGACACTGTAAGCAACATTTTCAGAATTAATGAGATTACTATATTTGCAAATATATCTACGTGTATTTGTTAAGGCAGTGTATTCCGTATTTTGCCAGCTGAGTGTGCGCACTTGGGAAGGGGATAGGTATGATGAGAGATGAGTGGCACGTACGCTAATTTATCTGCTTCTGTCGCGAAGAGTGAGTGAGTGCTTTTAATTTGATTTGGCGGTCAAATGACACAAAAACAGGTTATTCAACTACTGAGTGTAATCATGGTCCATTAACGTTACTTTACATCTAATTCAGGTTTGGTGCAACCAACCGTCTTGTTGGGGTGACAGCTCATTCTCCCTCCTCCTCCAGCCACCTCCTTGGGAGAGAAAAAACGATAGTCCATGCAGTCTGTGCATCATCAGCATCCATAGCCAAATCACTGTTACTGGCTAAATTGTAGGTTTTCTTTTATTTTTCCTATTTTTATATGTTGTTTCCCGTTTCATAATTAGTTCTTTCAGGCTCTACTTGTATTTTCTTTGAATGTCACTATGTCAGTACGAGGTGATCATTTTAAATTATTAAATAATAATAATGTCAAACTTAATTTAAGAACAAAAAAATGAAAAGAAAAGCGGACTTTCAGGCTTCGGCCACGAACCCGATCGATGAGGGGCAAGCTCTGGAAAAAACAGTTATTGTTCAGAGTACATGGCTTCTGGGCCCAAGTCCATGCGATTCAGGCCCACTTATTACCCACGTTCAAATGGCCCCGTGAAATGATCGAAATTTAAAATTGCGGAGGCCCTAAAGCAGGTGACCGATGTTAAAATTCGCCCTACCTGCCAAGATCACCGTTTGCCCCAAAAGACCTGGGAACTAGGAAGTAGCGTTGTACCCTTCGATACAAATACTTTCACGTAAATTGAGATGATTTTTTATTTTATATGCCTACTTCCGCACCATATTTAGTTAGGACCCGCGGTGGCTCAGTAATTTTTAAGTATTCTCGTTGCTGAATATACCTTTTCAAACCAAATTATTGTTTAAAATTAAATTGCATGATATTGATCCAGTTTTTAAGTAGTTTGTCATAGTCAGAATTAGAGTAAATACATCACTGAACATCGAGCCAGCATGTTCATTGGTTGGGTTTTTTTTTTTTTTTTTTTTGACCAGACATTGGTTGGGTTTAACAATAGTTAGATGAAACATAAATTGATTTTATTATATAAATCAGCTTGATGTTTTTTTTTGGCCAACAGTGACGAGGCTTATAATTTGTATGAATTGTATAATTTAATGAATATGGATAAGTCTTATATATTTTATATGGATGGATCCATCTTGCGTGCGTGCATGAATGAAACACTGAAAGCGTGAAGGTAAAAGGGAAGCACTTATATTTACTAATATTAATATACTGATTCCTATCTTTAGAGCTTGGTAATTAATCTAAAAATATTAAAAAGATTAGTCAAATTGATTATTTATCACAAATTTTGAAATTTATATTGATCCCATAAACTATCATTTTTAATCAGATATATTAGGTGATTTTAGTGATATTTTGAAAAAAAAAAATAGAAACAAAATGTAAATCGAGGCTTAATCAGTAAGCGGAGGTTCCGCTTTTCGTCGCCAAAATTTCCGTTCAGGTTAAAAACAGAAAGCGCGTGATCCTCCGCTCGCCGCTTGGCAACGTTCGTTTAAAATAAATACGAATAAACACTATTCTCATTTAAAAAGAGTTAATTAATCCGCAAGTCCTTGTAGTTTTAACCAATTTTGAATTTTGGTCCTTATAGTTTTTTTTTTTTTATCAGTCCTTATACTTTCATTTGTTTTTAATTAAGTCCTCACATTTATTTTTCTTTTTATTAAGTCCTTATAATTTCACTAAATTTTTAATCAGGTCCATCTAGTTTAATTTTATTTATTAATTAAATATAAACTTAATTAAATAAATTAATACTGAAATATAAATATTAATAATTATACAATTAAAGATAAGTAATATAATTAATTAATTCAGGAAAAAAATTTTGAACAATTATTTTTTTTGCAAAAAAATTATTATAATAATTATTATTTTTAGAATATTATTGTTTATAAACTAATATAAATAATAAATACTATTTTATGTTTATAGAATAGTACTATTAGAATTTATAAAATAAAGAATAAAAAATTTAGAGATTTAATTAAAATAAGGTGAACTTATAAGGACTTGATAAAAAGAAAATAAATGCAAGGACTTAATTAAAAACAGGTAAAAGTATAAGGACCTGATAAAAAGAAAAAAAATTATAGGAACCTGATAAAAGAAAAAAAATTATAGGGACCTGATTCAAAATTTGTTGAAACTATAAGGACTTTCATTTAATTATCTCTTTAAAAAAAAAGAAATACTAATAGAAAGGGCGCAAGATTGTTTCTGGCATAAAAAAAAAAGGGCGCAAGATGGTGAGTTTTGAGTTTTGACACTATTTTTCAGCAGCGGACATTTCAACTCATTAAAATTTATGCGTCTTTTTGTCCTTTGACCGGGGGAAATTTATAAATCAACTTCCACACACACATTCATGCTCTTAATTTCTTCGTGCTAAAATCCCCAGATCGAACCGTGGCAGCGGGAGAGGAGGGATTCTTCCTTTTTAAGCTCAGTTTGACTGCCCTGTTCGTATGTGAAATTGCAGGGCCCGCAAGGCGGGTGAGAGAGACAGGGAACGCTCCCTCACTCTAAACTTCGAAGAAATGTTTCAACCCAGCAAACAGGTGAATTCCTTCCTCTGCATGCCTCTTCTTTTTCATAATATCTCTTATCTGGTATCTTTGAACTGCTCCGGTCTTTCCTGTGCGGCGTGGTCCTGCAACTTCAAATTATTGTTTTCCGTCTTCTTTTTGCCGCATTTGTCACCCATCCCATTTTACAGTTCATGCTTCTTTTTACCTTGTCAGAAATGAAAGAAATCCCCAATTCTTCGAACATGAGCGTTCGTTGTCAGTTGTTTCTTCTGCGTTTGTTAATTGATCTTTCATTTTTAATTTCAGTTGACTTTAGTCTTTCAGTACTCAATTTGGGTTTCCCTCCTTTGGTACCATATAACAAAACAAGGACATAGAGTCATATACATTATGGATAGACTAGGATGATTAGCATTTCCGCAAATATGTGAGAGAGAGCCCTTACCATAAATTTTTGTATGACTTATTGATTTCGCGTGTTTTGGATCGCATTATAATGATCTGATAGGCGTAAAAGATTTTTGGTCATGTTCTTATTGACAGCATCAAAACGAGTTGGCACTATATGCTGCGTAAATGTAATCCCGCGGGTCACTGTTATATGCTCCAATATTTATATTGGTTGTCACTTATGATTTATCATCTATTTCATCGCCACATATACATATTTTCATATACCAACATATTTGTTTTTGTTTTCTGTCAACCTTCTCTGCTAATATTTAATATACACAAACACCCCGGTTTCACTCTCGGTAGAGATTACCTGATAGAATTTGATCTAGTGGCCTTATATAGTGCTGATCTTTCGGCGGAGCAAAATTTCATCGCTCTGTACTTGTGTATCCAATGAAAGAAAGGAAAGAGCAGGGAAGAAGTTAACTTTCCTGTTTATGTAAGACGTTGTCCGACCATTTATGGTTTAGTGTCTCTTCTAGTCTTTATTTGGATACTTGACAAATGCTTATTCATTGAGATGGATGGACAGCCTGTTTCGTCAGCCTTGGTGCCCGTAGATGCAAATGAAACCTATATAGATGCGCAGGGCAATGTGCAAAGTGGTGGATTTATACAGGCAGGGTCCATAATCCGAAATTCCCAGGTTGGAATTTTTATTTTTATTTTTTATTTTTCAAACATTTTGTGCTGTTGAATCTATCAGTAGGAATGGATTTCTTTTGTCTTACAATAATTGTTTGTTACTCAATTGGCTTCATTTTGCTTTATGCCAGGTATGCATGCCTATCAGATCTCTTGATTTTAGTTGAGTGACGATGGGTAATACAAACTTACCACACATTATGCAATGCTTGCAGAAACTTCAAGATGGTTTACAAGTGTTAGGGATGAAAATTAAGCAGCATGAGGATAACCTAAATCTTCTGAATACTCAGAAGACTAAACTAGACGATTCCATTCTTGGTTTGCAAGGTACATCCAAAATTACCTTTGAAGGCATTTTCTATCTTTGTTTGACACTCTGATAATGGATAAGGCAATCTAAATGGATGAGATGCCAGGTATCATGAGCACTCTAACTTGTGTACAGAGTGAGTTGGAGTCCGTGAATTTATGATAATGGCATCTCTATGGTTTGAGGTACCACCCAGAATAGCAGCATCCTATGTCTCCCTGCAATATTGGATGCCTTTAGGTTTCTTGTGTAGTAGATTGCCGAATGCATGCATCTTGACATCCATGATACTATGATAAAGATGATGGTGTAACAAATGGCTCCCAAATGTTATTTGTTAAAAAAGCGTTGCAATAAACTTTCCTCCTCCCCCCCCCCCAAAAAAAAATTAATGAAGAGCTAGTTTCACGTGTGTGTGTGTGTGTGTTATTTACCCTCTTAATAGATATCTTTGAGAAATATAAGTCATCGAGCATGCCCAAGAATTGCAAAACGGACAATCTGCAGCCAACAAGTGAGGAGGCAATAAATGAGCAGATATTGCAACATGAAAAATCTGCTGCTGGTTTATTGTGCCATCTGAAAACTCATCATGGAACTCAGGCATCTAATCTTTCATGGACAAAGGATGTTGTGGGTATTGTTGCTACCCTGGGGAAAGTTGAGGATGATAACCTTAGTAGGTACGTTTGGTCTACATGCTAACCTTCTGGTTTGTGAAACAGCTAACATATTCAAAACCTCCTGTTTCTTTGGAATCAATGGCATTTATTTAAAGAATATGAAAAATAACTTCTCTGAATTGCTCATATCTTGCTTGAATATTATGAAATATGTAAGCATGCATGCAGGTGCTTTACTATACCTACTTGGAATGCAGGCTTTTCTCAGAGTATCTAGGAGTAGAGACCATGCTGGCAATTGTCTGTAGGACTTATGAAGGAGCTAAAGCTCTTGAAATTTATAACAGCGATGGCTGCATAGACAAGAGCTCTGGTCTTCATGGACTAGGCGCCTCAATTGGAAGGGCCTTGAATGGTCGTTTTATAGTGATGTGTCTGGAATCTCTCAGGCATGACTTCGTGATCTCGTATTTAGTCTTTAATTGGTGAAATGGATCAATGAATTTCCCAAATACTGTTCTGATTTTTTTTCCCCTTCTTCTGTAGGCCATATGCTGGTAAATTTGTACTTGATGACCCACAGAAAAGGCTGGACATTTTAAACCCAAGACTACCCAATGGGGAGTGTCCAGCTGGGTTTCTCGGCTTTGCTGTAAATATGATAAATATAGACGGCTCGAACTTATTTTGTGTAACGCCCAGTGGATATGGTCTCAGAGAAACTCTGTTTCATAATCTTTTTTCACGTTTGCAAGTATATCAGACGAGGGCGGAAATGATGAAAGCGCTTCCTTGCATAAGTGATGGGGCTGTTTCTTTGGATGGAGGAATGATTAGGACAAATGGTGTATTTTCCTTGGGCAACAGGTAAGGGGATGAATGCGAAATTTTAGTTTATGCATCATAAATCAAAATTCTTTGTTCTTTCGTTCACATATGTGACTACTTGTGCTTGTAGTATGCCACCCCAATGATTGAACTTGCCATAATAGTCATAGTTCACTTCTCTGAGATATCTAACTAAATGAAGAAGACAAACATTTCGTTAAAACAAGAAAACCATCCTGTAATGCTGAATTTCTCTAACTGAAACGCATCGAAAGCCCCATAAGCCAGATAATGAAGCAAAGCCAGCTGGAGGGGGAAAAAAAAAACAGAGAGAGAAGAGAAGGTAAGTCTACTTTGCATATGCTGTCTTTTGTTCTGTTTGTTTTTCCCCCTTTTAGTTTCTATCTTGTATATATTTGCCCTCAAATGTTATAAATTATAATCATAATATCCCCCTTGAATAGTAAATATTAATTTTGGATTTTTTTTGTACTTTTTGACAATTTCAGAAAGGAATTTTTATTTTTTTAAAGTTGAAAGTGCTTCCTGCCAAATATCTTCTATGTTATATGGTTCAAGCTGTGGCTCTGATAACTACTGTAGCTCACAAGAACAAAAGTTGCAAAAAAATGTCTTCTAAGTGCTAACAATTTCAATGGATCGTCTATATTACTGGTGTTAAATACTGAAGAAAATGCATCTACCAATGTTGTCAGCCAACATTGAACCTCGATGCATAAGAGTTGGACGTGGTAAATTGGTCCTGTATGTTCTTCCTTTAATATCTGATTTCTGTGTTTTCTGACCGGAATTTGTTTTCAGTTCTTCAAACCAGTTAAAAAATATTCCACGCTAAGCTTGATTCTTGTGGCTTCATAATGCTGTTTGTCTTGAAGAATGAAATCATTGAATACTTATGTCCAATAAAGTTATATTGAGCTATTGAAAATAGTTGCCAGTTCAAAATAATCATAACTCACCAGTTTTTCTTCTTTTATTTTTGTGTGGCCTGTTTTTCCATGATGTTAGGGAAGACGTGGATGTGAAGTTCCCCAGCCCAGTGGAGTTTGATAGCTACAATGAAATTGAGAGGCAAATGAGGGTTTTGAAAGGGGAGAAGGACAAGATTTTGGGGGACATGAAAAGGGAACAAAGTTTGATGGACGCAGCGAAGTTCAGTTTCAATAAAAAGAAGAATGAGTTTCTGAAGTTTTTAGCAGAAAGTTCATCATATGCAACTCAGGTAAATGCCTCCGTGATGCCTCTCAACTGAATGTATGAATAGACTTATTCTGTCTGGAAATCGCAATCCGTATACTGCTTGGTCGTGTATGAGATGTTATATGTTGCAAAGGAAAATAAATGAAAATGAAATATAAATTTACTCAATTTTTGATGCTTAAATATTATCAAAATTGTGGTTGCGTTCAAACAACATAAGTTAGTGAACTCTTTTCGAAGTTCTTCTCTCGTTTGTTTCTTTTTGCTAAAGCGCATTCTAAATTGCTTACCGTTGGGATCTTAAGATGCTTGGCTTATCAAACCCTGCAAAGGGGATATCAATAATTAACGAGAATATTCTGAATCGGAAATGTATGGATGTTCCAACTCTGCTACGTGGTTCTTAATGATAATCAACGAGATTTTCTTACTGGAAAGTGGAAACTCAATGACGACTGGAAAGGTTAAGCCAAGTCATATTTGTTATCACATCATCTACTTGCAAGTATGCATCACTCGAGTGATGAGATATGGAGCCTGTGTGTAGTGGCTCAGTTTTGCAGTGAGCTTATGCTCAGATTTAGCAAAATTGGTGCAGCCATCCTAATAACCTCTGGATAAGCTTGAAGCCATGATTCGCCGGAAGCATGTCTTGGGAATTATTTTAGGCTTTTAGCACAAAACTATGTAGGCAAGCTGAGATGAGATACTTATTTTGCATCACCTTCGATTTGTACTGTTGTCGGGCTCGAGTGTCATGGATGTGAATTTCATTATTATTATTTTTTTGCCAGCGTGAATTTCATTAATTACATTAACGAAATATAATCATTGTTATATGTTAAAGTGAAATATGTGGTACTATTATTTAAGCCAGTATGGTACTCAACATCTATTATTTACTGGGGCGGACGTTTTGCTCTAACTCAGCCCAACCCACAACTTAATAACTTCCATATTATTTACTCAAAATAATAAAAGAGACTACGTCTGTTTTTCTTTTGTTTTTTTTTTTGGGGGGGGGGGTGGGGAGAGCAAAACGTCCCGCCAATTCAGTTGACCCGGAGGGGGGGCTGAGAAAATTAGTCAAACAAAAAGATTTCTTTTATCAAGCGTTCCTCATAATATAGTAAAGAAAGATTTTAAATACTTATTAGATGAGATTTTCACGTTCAGTACTTAAATGAAATGGGATTGTTCTTGGCAAAAAAAGAGAATGCGTTTCTATTATTTTTTTGCCAGGAAAGAGAGTGTGAGTTGTGTGATAATAATAGGAATATTCATGGCCGAGATACAGAATAGAAATATTCGTTTAAAAATAAAATAAAATAGCACAGAATAATGGGATGCTAATTATAACTATGGGAAAACGTGATATCTGGATCAGTTTTGCAATTAATCTCTAAGGGGGAAAAAATTCTCGTAGTTTTCATCGAATGCAATTATAATAATTTAAATGTTAAAATCTGATTCCTTTTTTTAATCCCAAGAATTTGGTTCATGCTTTGATAAACTATTAATTTATATCAATCAAATTTTGATAATTAAACCTCTACAATCTTTCATGGAACGGCATGAATCAAATTTAAGTAGAATACATAAAATGTCAGCCCATAAAAGAAATGAAATTAGAAGGGTTCAGGAAAATTGATGTGGGGAGACTGAAATTTTGTTTTTATTATTTAAATTAATAAAATATAGCATAGAATGAAAATCATTTTCCGAAAATAATGATAGTATTTTGATTAAAAATTAAATTGGGCCGCTGAGGCAGCGTTAGCATGGTAAAAAAATAAGACGGTGTTTGGGTATTATGAAAAGTGTTTTTTAAACAAATGGAGATAATCTACTCTAGATATTTACTTCATGTCTTAGAAGTACTTTTAAGTTGATGAGCGTTATTCCTGGAAACTGGGATTTACATATTTTGCCAAAAAAGGGATTTATTTACATATACTCTTGTTTTCACACGTTCCATATTTTTCCATCTCTGTCTTCTTCTTCTTCTTTTTTTCTTTTTGTGTCTTTTGTTTTTGGCCAACCATCTCTGTCGTCTTCTAATTGAGTCTAATACATTCGTTGGTCCCGTCGGGGTTTCTATTACATTGTCTTTACAAAAAATATCTTACTTTTATCCTGGAGATTCTGTTTCGCGGACTTCCAGCGGGGCGGAGATATTTTGGCGCGCTTCACATTCTCTTCTTCAAGCTTAATCCCAACTCAACTTTGCCGAATGTTCTCTACTCACATGGCTGCTGTGCTTAGATCCAAACTTTCCGAGGAAACGGCCTCTCAATTCAGATACTATGTATTCAACTATATGCATGCTAGTCGTATTGTAAATTCTCACTTTACGCACCGAACAAAGAGGGATGAGCACTTCATAATCACTCCTTATCAGTTCACTTCGTCCAAGCCCGTCTTTCACTTTGAAAAAAACGGCACTCATATTGTAGAGGGTCGCAGAACGAACCAAAATCCCAGTAGTATTTCTCATAGAAAAACGAGTGAGAAATGGAGTTGCAGGTCTTATTTTACTGTTAACTGCGATGGAGAGCCACCAGTACTGTGGTCTGGGGACGGCGTTAACATCCGGATGGACAATTCGAACTTCAATATGGTTGGTGGCGACAGCGGAGGTGATGGTAGTCTCGGTTCAGGAACTGATTCTGGCTCGAATTCTGAGGACGAGTTCTCTGGTGGATCCAGTTTGGGGAGTAATATTCCCACGCCAAAGAAAATTTGCGAAGGACTCGATAAATTTGTAATTGGGCAGGAGAGGGCTAAGAAGGTGATTCTTTCCTCAGTTCCGTTTCAATTAGTCTGCATTGCAACCCACACGGGGATCCGTTTGTGCTGGACACAGACGTATTAGATACGATACAGTTCTCCAAATTTATATTGAAAGGATGCATATTTTGTCTATGCCGTGGTTTCTATCACGTATTCAATGTCGGTGTCGATGCTTTTAGTAAACAGTACTCTGCCATTTTGAATATTTAGTTATTTGCATGAAGGCTCTGCCATTTTGAATATTTAGTTATTTGCATGAAGGTCTTACTTTTATGCTTGAGAATGTCAGCTATTGGTGATATTTGATTATTATTATTATTATTCACGGGGCGTTAGTGGAGTTACTGTTGGTTATTTATAAAGTGGCAATACTATGTCAGTTAGAAGTGACCGTGTGGGGCAACATCTGGTGGATTATGTGATCGTTTTGGAGAATGTTAAGTTGTATGTCCAATGAATGCTTCTGTCAGTATATTCCCTTGGCGATGATTCCTCTATAAACTATAATGTTGATGTAAACGGGACGATGAACTCCTTTTCCCAGAATTTATCTCAGTTTTCTTAATTATATATGCCTTAAATGCAGGTACTTTCCGTGGCAGCTTACAACCACTACAAGAGAATTTTTCATGAATCGTCTCAAAAGCAGTTAGTACATTATTTCACTGTGCTACCTTTTCTTTCATTTTTCCCACTTGTTCTTTCTCCACATGCTGTCTTGGGTCGCATGTTAAACAACAATCTTTCTATTTTGTTGGCCTTGTTGGTAACGTGTAGAAATTGCTTTTGACATGTTCTTCTTACTATCTGAAATGTTAGGCCTGCAGGAGATTCAAGTACCAATAAGGCTGATGCTATTGATGAAGAAAGAGTTGAACTTGAGAAAAGCAATATTCTTCTAATGGGGCCAACGGGTTCAGGTAATTCAAATTTTACTTTTCTCAGCAAATGTAAGTGTTTCTATAGCTGGGGTTGTGTATTATATTTTTCATCATATAATAGAACGTTAAAATCACGTTTTAATTCAAAAGAGATGAAAACGTTCGAGCTGAGTTGTTTTCCACCTTCTTTTCGTTTGTTAATCATGGGTGTCTTGTTACTCCTGGTTACTAGTCTAACTTGATTATCTACACCATTTCAAGGACAGGGAAGACATTACTTGCCAAAACTTTGGCCCGGTTTGTGAATGTTCCCTTTGTTATCGCTGATGCAACTACAATAACTCAGGCAAGTATTCTTTACTTCTGTTTAATGAGAATTTTTTATCCCCTCAAGGAGAGAGAGAAAGAAAGCATTTTCTGTCTTCTTGTGGAGGTTTTTAATCATTGACTATAAAAGAAGTACATAGGCCCCAATGAACCTTATAGCACTGCTTCCCCTTTTGAGGATAGAGCAGAGGGTGAGGATTGCTTTAACTTTACTTTTCAACAAAAGGATTATGCTCATATTTATGTGATCCTATAGTATCATGTACAAAAAAATCATCCACATAATAAATGCAAACAGATTGTTACGATCTGAAATATTTGTCATGAAAAGTTTGTCTCATCAAATGCAAAAAGGCCTGACTGTAAGTTGGGTGTGTTAACATTTATTTATTTGGTCATAAATACTATTTCCTTTTCTCTTATTTAATTTGCTGCCATGTTATTTTGACATATTTGCGTGGACATTATTATCCCTCTATTTTTTTAATGGAAGTTACAAATATGGAGAAATCATTTTTGGTATATGATAGCCCCAATGCCGTGTTGTTGCAGGCAGGATATGTTGGGGAAGATGTCGAGTCCATTTTAAGCAAGCTCCTTATGGTAAATATTCTGACTTTTGTTATTTGAATACAGCATGCTTGCTTCTCAGTTCTTTCTGAGGAGAAAGTGGAGCTTGACATGTCTGGAAGCACAAGAGAACGTTCTTTTGCTGATATTATTACCAGTATTTGATACCGGGTTATTCATAGCATTACCATACCCTCCCTATTCATTGCGGGGTGGTTATTTGTCAGCACGGGTTTAGCTTACGATGTATTTATTCGTCTTTGCTTATTTCTGAACCATAGTCTGCGGTATTATTAACTGTAGTTCCTTTTAAGTATAAATTAGAGCTGTTTTTCCTTTCTTTTTGTTGCGTTTTCATTTTATGGATGGCAGTAACATTAGGTCAAATTACTTTCAGGTTGCTGACTACAATGTGGAAGCTGCCCAGCAGGGCATTGTTTACATTGATGAAGTTGACAAGATCACTAGAAAGGTTTCACCATGTCATGTCTTCCCCCCATTTTCCTTTTCTCTGATTAATTTAAACCATTTCTTTCTGTTGTTTTCCCTTCTTCAATTGTCTATTTTCTAGGCTGAGAGCATTAATATCAGTAGAGATGTCTCTGGGGAAGGTGTTCAGCAAGCTTTATTGAAAATGCTTGAGGGAACAGTAAGTGCATTTCTCGCTGATTTGGAAAATTTCTGTCATATTCTTTCCTTTCCTTTTTTTTTTTTTATGTCAGTTTAATTTATTGTGTATTGATCTGTTACCTAGGTTGTCAATGTTCCTGAGAAGGGGGCTCGTAAGCATCCTAGAGGTGACAATGTTCAGGTATATGGGCATTAGCCTTTGTTTTTACAATTATAATTTTCTTTAGACACTTGTAGAGATAATTATGTATGTTTAGGGCACATGTACGTGCTTGCCATCATTTTGTTGTATATGGTTCAGTGCTTGACAAATTTTTCTTTGTTGATCTATCATTTTTGTCCCAGTTTGTTTATTTACATGTGATTTTATTTCGGCATTTATTTCATATTGAAGGTATTGGCTCATCGTTTGTTTTTGGTGAATTTGTTCACTCATCTTTGTTCCTTCACAGATTGATACAAAGAATATACTTTTCATTTGTGGAGGAGCTTTTGTTGACCTGGAGAAAACAATCTCAGAAAGGTTGCACAAACCCTGGAAATTAATTAGTTTTATACTTACAGTGAGAATAAAATGAAGTGTGAAGCCTCCTTTTAGTCCCATGCAGGCGCCAAGATTCGTCTATTGGATTTGGGGCACCTGTACGTGCAAATATGAGAATAGGTGGTGTCACTGATGCTGCTGTTACTTCATCATTATTGGAAACCGTAAGTTAACATCATATATATGACAGACCTAATTCCTTTGAAAAATGGTTTTTACTACTGCTAGCTTTGATGTGTCAGATATTTGCATGATTGAAATTGTTGTATTTGGCAGGTTGAAAGTAGTGATCTTATTGCATACGGTTTAATACCAGAATTTGTTGGGAGATTCCCTGTCCTCGTCAGTTTGTCATCTTTAACAGAAAATCAACTCATTCAGGTAGGCTATATCCAGGTGCCTCATGTTACTCAGGCTGTCCACGCTGATGTACCTGTAAATGTCTTCTGATTTCCAGAAGTTAACGACATTATTCGCTTAATTTGTATTCTTAGAAGTGAATTCTTTCAATAAAAAGCATCATCGGCATGTGTTTAATCGCAATTATATAATGCTCTATAGGTCCTCACAAAGCCAAAAAATGCCCTTGGGAAGCAATACAAGAAGATGTTCCAAATGAATGGTGTAAGTTTTTTTTTTTTTTTTTTGTGAGCCTTGACTTATCCGCAGATGATATGGAGAACACATGTTCCGTCTGCATATCTTATTGTTCATATCAAGGATCTTTTTTGCTTGTTCATGTTAATTTTATGGATGGGGTAATTGACGTATCATTTGAAAAATTTAATGCTGATAGAATCTCTTCAGCTGAAATTCCTATTTTATTTCCAGGTAAAACTGTATTTCACAGAAAAGGCCTTAAGATCAATTGCCAGAAAAGCAATATCTAAAAATACCGGTGCTCGAGGCTTGCGGTCAATATTGGAGAAAGTATTAGTAGATGCCATGTATGAGGTATGCGATTTCAATTTTAATTTTAAATCGTATCTTAATGTTCATGTACACCGTGGAGTGTAGATATTGCATACAGGATCGGAGTGGGTGGGTATTGTAGACAACTTGATAATAAAACTATCATTTAGATCATGAATCTCTGTTTGGCAAAAAGATGGCTATGAATCTCGGTGTTTTTTTTTTTTTTTGGCCCCTCCTGAATTTTTCTGCAGATTCCTGATACCAGAGCAGGTGATGATGTTGTAGATGCTGTTGTTGTTGATGAAGAGGCTGTTGGAAGTGGGGCCAAAATCCTCTATGGTAAGGGTGCATTGGATCGATATCTTTCAGAACACAGACATAATCCAGAGGTATGCATTGTTTGGTATACCAAAACTGTTATTTTTCCCCTTAATCCCTTGATGTGGGAATTAGCGTGGCCGAAGACTTTAGATTTATTTTGAATTGGTGCTTCCATTATGATCTCAGTACGCGCATGTGTCTTAACAATAAGTGCTTCGTTGTTTCTTCGGTCTTAATTCTTGTTTTTACTTTACCAACACTAAAAACTTACTAATGCCTACTTCTGCATGTATGTAACAGGCCATGGAAAGTTTAGGTGGAGATAATGGAGAGGCAGAACTTCCTTCCATAGTTGCCAGCATGTAACATGTCTTGAAGCTTCTGCTGTATACCATGTCGGAGCGATGTTAACTTGGCGAACAATATTTGGAAAGTGGAGGATTCTGGCATTGTGGGTACGTAAATGCCCCTAAACTCAAACCGAATTTCATCACGCCTACCTTTGCTTGCTCTGAGGTTCACATATTATTATTATTATTGTAATGTAATGTAACGGAGTAGATGGGGGGCATACAGGCTTTACCATAATGATCTAAAGTGTAGGTGTCTATTTTGACATATAATGAACCTATCATTATTTTATTATTTATATCTGAAGACATCGTCATAATAATGTATTCCTGAAATTGAAATGTCATCATGGATTTTTAATGCTGTATATTCTTCTCTGCAATCTCTAGCCCCACATAGTACACCATCCAACATGCTGCAGAGTAATCCAACTCAGCAATTAGCAACTAAACTCAATAATGTTGAGGATTAGAAGCCTGCATTTGATTTTCTTCCCCCCCCCCCAAAAAAAAACAAAGAATACTAGAGAGCATTTGAAATTCTGACTGTTCTGATGAAATAATTTGGACTATATAATTTTAATAAAATGAAGTAGCAGATAACAAAATACACAACACTCGTTATCTTCCTGCTAACGGCCCCCCTCGTGGATCATCCTATTACAGTATTACTGGAATCGGAATTTGCCATAGTCACATGGCCACGTGTTCTCTGAAGAAAGTAGTCCATAGGACCAGTAACCTTCATCATTTATGTGGGAAGTCTCTCCGTTACTTTGCTTGCACTAATCAAAGGATGCCACGGGGAATAAAAACATGAGAAAATGATTTTAAAAAAAGGTTAAAAATTACTAAATGTTGAATAGAGGATGTTAACAAAATTTATTGTCATTTGTAAATTCAGTGTTCTTAACATCAAATAACATGTTGATACCAAACTTAATTTGAAATTTAATCGTTTTTAGCTTCATTTTTTGTTATTTTTCCAAAAAAAGTTTATCAGTAAAAAGGCTACAGTACAGAATGTAACGAAAGAAAATAGAACCCAAATGCATTACATTAAGAATTTGGTGAAATTTAGAACGGGATAAAGTACTTAAATACTGTATAAGTATCCACAGATGAGCATTCAATATCTAAAAGCTTTTGTCTTTTGATCTTATATGCTTGAAAGTTACTTTTATAACAAAAATACCTTGATCGTTATCCTCTATTAAATTTGACTATTAAATTATAAAGTTAATGATTAAACTTAACAGCAGACAATAATTCAGAACAAAAGCATTACGAAATAAAATTTACAGGACATATAAGAGAGGGAAAAAAAAACTTCTGAGTGCTATGTACTTCTTTATGAATACTTTTAGAAAATTTAAACACCTTATCTTGTTTAGAAATCATATCAAAGTTACAGTACAAAGGCAACGATTTAGTTATAGTTAATGGAGTAAAATATATTTTTATCAATCAATTTAGGTCGTAGACGAAAAGGACAGAGAACCTTAGTCTTCTATGATTTTTTTTTTCTTTGCCGTCAACTTACTCATTTATAATCTGCGAATGCTGAATATACTTCAAAATTTATGTTAGTAACTTCCATGATTAGGGAATATAGTGCAATTTATTAGCAGAAGAATGAGATGTCAAATTAAATAGACTTCATAAAATTTATGTTTTCGTGCATGGCTAATTTTTTTTTTCGTAATATGATGTCTAAGACTCTGTAGTTATTATACTTTATTAAATCCGTTTATTACAACTTGTTTCCTATAATAATTGCCAAATCATTAAAAAATATATATTTATTAAAAATAAAGTATAATAAAATATCCAATACATAAAATAATATGATGATATGAATTTAATAAATAATTTATATACTGACTTATGAATTTTTTTTTATTAATTTTGGTCGAATACCTCAAAAAATAATAGTAGGCCGTATGGTTTTACGTTAATATCCGCCAAATTTAAAAAAAAAAAAAGGTTGAAATTTGGGTCCCGTGGGATGGATCTCAATTATCGTAGAGTTTCCGAAGTTTAACGCCCCCCCCCCCCACCCGCTCGCCTTTCTCCCTCTCTCTCTCTCTTCTTGCAACCCGGTTTGGGGAATGTAGCGAGGAAACGAAGAGGAGAAAAGGCTAACGAAGAAGAAAAAGGCTGTTCTTCCGGAGAAAGGGAGGTTGGCTCGTCGGACTCACCCCTTTATCCATTTACCGCTTCATGACCATCCCCATCTTCTTCCTCCTATTTTCTTCTTCTTCTTTTTTTCCTAGCAAGTTTTCCTGGAAGAAAGCCGAGAACGAAGAAAATCGAGGGAGGAGATTCAAAAAAGAAATGCTCAGGTATCTGATTTCGTGAAATTTATGATTTTGATTACTGGGTATTTCATATATCCATCACTTGTGGGAGGTTTCGGCGACTGGATGGACTTGGATAACATTGAGTGTGTGTCATCCTCGGATGGTATTGACGAGGACGAGATCCACCATCACGGTATACATCCTCACTCCCATCATCACTCTGAGTTTTCATCCTCAAAGACTCGCAATGGCGCCATCAGTATGGGCCCCACGGCCATTGCTCCGGCAACCAGCGTCCACGAGTTGCTGGAATGCCCTGTCTGTACCAATTCTATGTACCCACCAATTCATCAGGTCATCTTTTTTCTTTTTCTTTTTTAGCAATTTCCGCCTTATGTATGTTGTATGATATATTACTTTTGTAACTGTGTGCTAGGTTTCGTTTTCATAATAATAAGGATCCTTTCTTCGCACTTTAGTGAATTTGATGGCTCTTTTTTTGGGTGTGGGTGAATGGAGGAATTGAGCGGACTTCATGATGCCTTCGTTTCTTTCTTTTTCTTTTTTTTTCCGGTAGGCTTCATCGTGGTTTGGAAAATCTATGACTTGGTTTTGGAGTTCGAATTTTCGTTATATGGGGAAAGCATTTTATGCCATGGGCCAAATATAATCTAACCATACTTGTAATTGCGCATTTGGCCAATTTGCAATTTTATTTTTTATCCTCGGCACAGCAATATCAAGTTAAATAGTTGTCCCAGTGATCTATGTTCTAGATATAGCAGTGCATTGGAGAGAGGATTGATTCTCAGGTTTATTTATGTATTTTGTTGTGAATTTTTTGAGGAACGGGTTCCTTTTTATTGGATGAAATGACGAGTTCCCTTTTTTATGCCTTGGTTAACATGAAGTTATGGTCTACGTGTCGTGTCTTAAAGTTCTGATCCGGTAGGTGAAGCATTGGCATAAAAGAATTACGTGACTTGACAGCACTAATAATATAATATAGTTATGTACTTGGTTATCTTTTATGTCAAAGGACTACTGAATGTGTCAGATTTTGGTTTTACACTTCTTAACAATATCATACTATATGAGTTTTTTCCTTTTGTCTAGAGGATGTTATTGCCATCTTTCCTATGTATCAGTCTATGTCCTTGTTAGGAAGAAGATCCCTAGCTGTTGATAGCCTGTTTGGTATCAAACCTATGCCTTTTTCTGTGACTTTGGTTATCATTGAACATTTATAAAAACTGCCGTCTGCCACACAGTGGTATTCTATTATTTTTATATGACTCCTTGACCCAATGGAAAAGAGATTTTATTTTAATATTTTAGGATGAGTGCATCCGAAGGTGGAGATTATGGTTAACTGTGTTAAGCTAGATCATAAGTTGTTATTTGGTAACATTTCTTAAAGGAAGAAATGATGAAAAAGAAAGGCCAGCGTTACTGTGGTTCTGCTTCCGCTTGATCTTGTAATATCTTATCTCGAATACTAATATTGTGTAACACCTTTGCAGTGTCACAATGGGCACACCCTATGTTCAACATGTAAGACAAGGGTGCACAACCGATGTCCCACATGCAGACAAGAGCTTGGGGATATTAGATGTTTGGCTCTGGAGAAGGTAGCTGAATCACTTGAGTTACCATGTAAATACTATTCTCTTGGGTGTCCAGAAATCTTTCCATACTACAGCAAGCTCAAGCATGAGACACAGTGCAATTTTAGACCATACAATTGTCCTTATGCTGGATCAGAGTGTTCAGTTGTTGGGGACATCCCTTTCCTTGTTGCCCATCTGAGGGACGATCATAAGGTGGACATGCACACGGGATGTACATTCAACCATCGTTATGTGAAGTCAAATCCCCGTGAAGTAGAGAATGCAACTTGGATGCTCACTGTATGTTTCCCCCCTTTGTGTTAGAGTTTTTAGGGAAAGATGAAATGGGAGGGTCATCATTCTTGTTTAAATATAATTCTTTGGTCCATGGAACACTCAAAATTCTTTGAGGAATACCACTTATGGCATACACTATCAGTTGTTCATCAAACTTCACTGCCACTAGGTGTAAGTTATGGCCTGGGAGATCTGATTTTTCTGAAGTTTATGCAATGGTGAAATATGTCTTTTTTGTTTCTCGTGACTAGGGGATCTTTGGTCTTTTTTACTTTTCTTCATTATTTTGTGTGTTTTTTTATAGGACCTAACCTTGAAAATAGAAGTATATAGCAGAAGACAGAAAAGGAGGGAAGGTGGAGGGAGATAGGGGAATCACTGAGAAAATTAAGGGCTTGGAGGACAAAACTAATCACCTAGGTTTAGAGCTGAAAGGAGAACCCAAAAAAGGTGGGTAAAGTGATGGAAAAGTGGGTGTAGCAGTTGGGACTGATAGAAGGTTTTAGGAAGAATTTCTATCCTTAGAATTGCATCTGCCTGACTCTACCTTAAAGTGAGGGACAAAATGTTTGTATTTGGAACATGGAAACAGTGGAGATGGAAGATGAAATGAATGCGCAACAAGCCTTGAAAATGATGCGTTCAGACTCCCCTAATGCATCAGCTTGACTGCTCTTTTCTCTTTTCAATCATTTTAACCCTGGCCTTGTTCGTTCAACTTGAACTGGTAGACGAGAGGAAATCATTTTGATCCAGTGGTTTTAGGTTTGTTGGGTGGTCATCTTCATTTCTAATCTCTAACATTTATATGATGCATCGATGCCTCCTATTATGCCATGTCTTCCAAGACAAACGCAAGTCAGAGGATCTCCGTCCTTTTAGGTAAGGTTGTTCTGTTAGTGGAAGATGTGGATCATTTGGAGGAGTGTTGAAGCGTTCTGGCCCCTGGAAAGCCTTGATCACCTTCTTACTTGTTCATTTTGCATAGTGTATGGTTTTAATTGGGGCGGGGAGCTGGATTTTACTTCTATTAGTTCAAGGAGTCTTGTAGGACCGCCTGATACAACCATTTGTTACTTATTTTGGTTATACAAAAACATGAGTTTCCTGCTATTTCGCTGTCTGTCGGAGTTCTGAACTGTTAGATGTGAGTGTTTT